TCATTGTATTTCACTGCTGAATTTTCAACCCAAGCACAATTTTCAGATCTGCTTTCATTGTTGTCAAACCAAGCATTTTCTTTAATGTATGTTTCTGGTACAACATTCTGCTTTTAAAAACAAACTTATTCCATCAGTATATTTTGTAATGTTTTGACTTTTTTGACAGAGCATGGTTAGTGGTTGTGCGGCCCTGATTAAAAGAAAGTTGTGGCCATAATTAGACCACATTGAGAACAGTAATTAGACTATAATTGCTCTGCAAGGCAATCAACTTCTATTCAGAAAGGCTGGAATGAAAAATTGTAAACTTTGTATCTACAGTTTTCAAAGGTATTCAAATATTCACAGTCATGGGCTGAAACCAGAATCAATATTCACAAAGATGGGACTTTAGCCCATTAGGGACATCAGTGATATTTAATGCCAGTGATTACGGCTCATCGTTCACAACAGTAATGGCACATTGCTCATACTGGTAGTATTTCATAAAACCAACACAGAGCAATCACAGCCTTTGTCTTTCAAAACATGCAGCACTATCAGTTTTGGCTCTGCGGAGAAACCCCTCCGCCAGTGTTTCCGGCTTTGTTTTTGGGGCCACTGCCAAGCCACAAGTTTAGGATTCCCTGTGCATTTGCCCTCTAACTTTGGCAACGATTCATAGCTCTAAGCTCACAGACTGCTGTGTTACAGCTGAAGCAGACTGTGATGTGCCAGCTTGTGTGAGGCAGCAGACTGTCAATAAAGTGTGGGAGAAAGTCAACACAATAGAGGCACAGCTGAGTGAATTGTTTGTCCCTGGCTTGTCCATTGTTTTATTAAGTGACTACTCTTACATACCCATAATTAAAGATTAGCATGCAAATTAAAATAAAAAAAGGTAACCAATAATTATATGCAATACTGATTAGGTAATGTATATGACTGATGCTTACTGCTATTTACAAAAAATACAAGAATACATGTTACCAGCTTGTGTAACGTATCTAAAAATGAAATTTGTTTGGGATTCTTAAGTGGCAGTTTTGAATAGTTTGCACAGCTCAGTCACCTTGCAGTGACATGGGTGGCATCATTCTCCTCACTGGAACTGAACAAGTTAGACTTCAGTGATAAGGTCAGTGAAATACTGGTCTTCCCAACTCTCACACTGCACAGACATTGAGCTACAGTGTTCCTACACTCATTTAGCAATGCTACTTCCTCACTCCAGGGAATTTGCTACCAAAAATGGACACATTAGGATTAGTATTATGATCCATTATGTGGCGCCAAAGCAAGCAAATATAGGGCAGTTGCAGGGTTAATGCCCATTTAGTCATCTAAAAATAAGCTGCAGCAGAATCTAGGCATATGTTCAACTGAGAATGTGTCAACTAAATACTAAAAATGTACGTCAGTGGCAGTCGGCTAACTCTAGGGCCCGAGCTTAGATACGACACCTTCTGCACCTCAGAGGGAGATGCAGTTGCCATTCCTGCAACAAACTTCAGACACTATATAATTGCAGTAAATGTTTTAAAAAAAAAACAACCTCCCACACACTGCTAGAAAACCTTCTCTGATTTTTCTGTTACTTTCCCACCTCAGCTGTGTGGCCGCTGCTCCAGGCTGAGTCATGATTGCTGATTGCTAAAGCTGGCTTTGAAAAAGAGTGGAAAGCATCTGTCTCAGCGTGATGGGTCCTTGAGAATTGGGGCCAGATGAAGTGTGTGTGCTGGCTGGAGCCAAGAGGCTGCTGGAGCACTGGAGCGTTACATTAGAAGAATGACTGGTGGAGGGATTTAGTGACCGTCTCTTTGTCAGGATGTCCTTGCGTCCTCTGTCAAATATTAGGCGCTATTTGTCTCTGAAGAGTGTCCTAAACTGCTTCTTTCCTGGTACCTTCATTCCTCTCTGTTCTTGGCACCTTCATAAGGAAGCGTATGGGCTAATATTGGCAACAGCTTCCTGCCTGTTCCCCAAAGGCTGCTCCAAGTCTAACTTTATAAATGTTGACGTGAATGATAATTTCCAGAAGAAATTGCCTATTTGAAAAATAAAGATTGTGCTGAAGAGGTTCAGTGAAAAGCTGTAATGATTTTAGCCTCAGCCTAGCAGAGTACCACCTGCTGAAGGCACTGGATCCTGCTTATCAATAGTCTGCGGGTTTAATGATTTTTGGCTTCAAACAGCTTTTTTTTATGTCCTCATAAGGCCTTTATTGCACTGTTTCAGAGCTCTGATGGGTCTGGATGAGATTACCCTTTCTCAATAATGAAATTATTGCTCTCAGCACCATGGATAAAGACAAGAAGGGCAAACCTGATGATGTACTTTTAACCTTTATTTATCCAGATAAGGGTCTAAACATTCTCCTTTTTACTACCACAGCTTTGTGTTACAATTGAACTGCTAAATTCAAGTTCATTTGCTCGAGGCTACTCAGTAGTGCAATTAGAGACTGTATAGCTGGATAGTTTGCTGTCATTCAACTTATGGTGGCACCATTTTCTTCTTTTAGAGCCGAGACCTTCAAAATGTAGAGTGTGGGATGTTGGTTTTCACATTCTGAGGACACAACACAGCACGTCAGACGGAAGTGGTGAAAACACAGACGGGGACTTTGGTTCTATTCATGCAGCAGTCGGTATACATTGGCTCCTGTGGATGCTCATGAAAGACTGGCTGTGACTTTACACTAGTTACAGGATACAGCAGCTACTTACAGTCAGTGTGATTATTATGGAGTTGTGCCAACCACAGTGGACGGACATGCATTTGGGCACCGCTGATGAAAAGCAGGGTCAGGCAGACTCTCACGGACCCTTGCAGACTGGACTAGATGATAATATTTACATCATGCAGGCTCTCATGGATGCTTGTGGATATGCAGACATGAAAAACATGTGCTATCAGGGACAGATATCAAATCAAGTTCAAACACTGAACGAATATTGCTAATAAGTTCAGGAACTGAGGGGAGCAGTAGGCAGATGAACTTTGTGTCACAGCTTTCAATCAACACCCACTCAGTCAACATCAACGCTATCTATAAGCCTTCAAACCTCATTAATGGCGAGATAATTTCCAAACTGACCACCAGTGCATTTAATGGAGTTTCCAGTTGAGACCATAATGACTTTGTGGCTTTGAATTTCTAGACACAGCTTGTTTCTTTTTGAATGGGAGTGAGGAAAAGCTTCTTTAGCATCAGCACCTAGCAGCCTCCAGTGGCTTCGGCCTCGCAGTCAAGCTACGATCTCTTTGGACTCTGCCTCCAGCCGTGGTCGCCGCTTCTTCAGTCCAACTGAAACGTTTACTCCCATAGACTTAATCTGATCAGCTGTAATCTCAGGCAGGGCCACCATGTTCATTGCTCACAGTGAAAATATCAACACAAAACAGTAAATCAACATAAGTGGCTGCCTACTATAATCTTGAAAGCATTTGGAGAACAACCACGTGATGACAGGCAGCTGCTCCACCCAAAATAATCTCCCCGAAAGCATAGTGTAATTAACAGATGGTCCCACTTGTTAACGAACTCATGTTCAGGATTTAGCTGAAAGGTTAGGCTTGTATTGTATTTGTCTGTGTGGACGACAACTGCATGGAGAGCAAAAGGGATCGCTGAGGGGCAGCTGGATGGGACGGTGGATGTTAATCATACATGGTCGTTATTATGGGAAGCTTCAGTTTTGATTCTTGGTTTTAGGGTTGTCATTGGGGTTTGCAGTGAGTTCCTCACAGTGATGTATACTCGAGGCGGTGCCACTCAGCAGATGTGCAGAATGCAGGTGTTGGCGTCTGAATCAGGAGAAAAATGCTCGACTGCTGATGCTCCTGTGATGATGTAATGCTCTTTAAATGAGGTGAAATCAAATAAAACACCATTCCTTTCTTGTTTGGCCATGGCTACAGCTTTGATAGAAGAAGTGCTCTCATCAACATTGCAGTGAATGCTGTGGAAGGCTAAAAAAATCTGCTCTGATGATGCATGAGTTCTGCAGAATAGAGGAAGCAACTGGAGTTAGCTGTAAAGGTTAGACTTTACAAGCTTTTAATTCAGGCAATATATTTAATTCTGTGATGTAATGGAGCGTTTTTAAAAAAAAATATGGAATCAATTTAAGCTATTAAAGTACTTGCTCTGTCATATTGTGTGTTAGAAAATCAGCTTACTTTTGATGTGCATAGTAGAGTGTTTTTGTGTCTGTCTGTGCTAACAGCATAGGAGACAAAGACAAAGTTAGGTCCAAGAAATGCTTGTCCTGAGTCTGTCTTTTAATACCCAACTCTATATACACACACAGACAGATGTTGGTTCAAATTCCAGTGGACTCAACCTACAACAGGTGCTCCAACTGATGTATGAGTAACTCCCCATCTGGTCCAGTGGAGCAGCTAAGTGGCAGCCAGCACAAACCTTCCCTAGATAGATAAAGGTTAAAAACAGTGCCATGCTCCAACACTTCTATAGGGAAAACAAGCTGAGGGCAGGCAGAAAGAGATAGATTGAAAGAATGAATTTTTCAAGACTCTCCGGGGAAGGTGGCTGACAGGCAGGCTGATCCTCCATCCTCCCCTGCTTGCACTAGAAACAGACTGTTTATTGAAGGCCTGGAGCTTTTTTCCACTTGTTTGTGTGGAAAGTGGCAGCAGAGGCACGCGCGCTTTAGGATGCGATGGCAAAAATAAGAGTAGTCTTTGTTCTGCTTCTGTGCTGTAGAACACCCATCAAAGCCTACTTGTTATGAAATTTACAAGATGAGTAGGCATGATGTTGCAAGTCCAATCTCGCAAACTAGCCATCCCACATAAGGTGACGGGGCATTTTGGAGATTACTGCACTCTTCCAAGCCAAAAAAAAAAATCACTGCTTGGACTAGAGGACAGAATTTTTAATACATTGTTCACTTAAAACCTCCAAATATCCGAGCGAAAGAAATCCTACACATGTTGTAAGTCGTAGCGATGTCCTCCTGTGGTAACACACTGCTTCTCTCTCTCCGCAGATATGCAGTCATCAGAGCAGCGCTGACGGGCCTGACTCTGGTTTAACACGACCATGGAGTCCTCCTCCGAGTCCCAGCAGGAGCCTGAGAAAACTTTGGTAAGTTGTAATTGCATGTGTTTGTACCGTCCCACATGGAGATGCATTTCAAGGTTTCAAAACAAGAGAGTAGCTCAGCGCTCCAGAACAGGAGGTAATTGCGAATGCATAAAAAGGGATGCTTTTAAAGAGTCATGAGGTACACGGAGCTGCTGTATTTTTAGATATTCTGACTGAGAAACTCAAGGTAACACTTGTTGTAGAGGACTGTACGCTGTAGGCTCCACTTTAGACCTGAAGAGTAACATTAAATCCACCCACTGAGCCCGACTGCCTCTTAGATGCGGATAATTATTTCTAATAACTGGTGGTCTTCACATAACCGCCATGTATAGTCTTAAGCTGGAAAGAGCTCCTGTTTCCTGCTGGCAACAATGACAGGACATGTGCTCCAGGAGTACACTCTCCAAACCTTAATGATTAGCTTAAGGTGCTAATATTGCCAAGCTGCACCAGGCTTGTCAGACTGACCGTGGCAGACGCCGCACTTTGCTGCTTGTAATTAAACTGGTGCCAGATCAATGTGTGTGTGAGTAGATAGAAAAAGGCTGTCTCTCTGGTTTCAGATGATTAAAGGTCAGAGGTGTGTTGCTTCAGCACTCTTTTCCCTCAGAACAGTCATAGTGATGAATTTGGCCAATGAAAACAATAACACAACCATCCACTGTGTTTGTAATACAGTTTAATGTTGCGGCAACTTCCCATTTGGTGCCATTTTAATGCTTTCTGTCGATAGTTTGCTTTATGATTCTTCTCCTGATAAATCTCACAGCAGGTCTCTAATGCAACTATTACATTCAAGCATGTCGCTCATAAAATAAACAAAGGAAGCATATCACCTTTTATTTATTGCGGGTGTAGGCAGTGTTTTTTGGCAGTGTTTGGCACAAATTTCATAATAACTTTCCAGCAATTGTAATTCAAGCGCTCGAAGAGGAAGCTAGACTTCCACCCCACCTCCTGACTCCGTTTTCAGGCTTGAGAACATCTAGCTGGGGATAGGAGATTTTAGCGAATCACAAATCACAGTCAGATGAGATGGTGTAAATATCAACAAAGGCCATAGAAGAATAGGATAGAATAAAATAAAACTTTGTTGATCCCTTCGGTGTAAACCTCAGGGAATTAGTTGAAAAGGTTTCTTGTTTTTTTTTTTTTTAACAGCTTAACAAAGTTTTTAATTCACTTCTTGTTGATAATTAGTGTTTTTCATGATATTCACGGACGTATCAAGTGGTCTTAAAGTAAAACAAGCTGTATGAGGATGCAGGATATATCCACTGTCTACCACATATCTTCCTATTCTGAAAAAAGAAATCCTGTTTTCATTTCTTAGACACTTACTTGATTATCTGAGTAATGATTCATTCACGACTTCAATAATCTATTTTCAAGCACAGACTTGACTGCATTCATTTGCTCAAATTTTAGTATTTCCTGGACTTCCGGCAGTTGTTCAGGTTGAGCTCATGGGAACTTGTGATGGGCATTTTAAACATGAAGAAGATGGAACTGAAATAGGTGCTTCTGAATAAAACATATGCATTCTTATCTGTATTCAGCACAAGTTTGAGGTTATGTTAACGGCAGACTAAACAGCTTGAGCCTGAGAAGAGCCATACGCATACAAAATTAAATCATCTGCAGAAAAAAAAATCATAAATTTTAGAGTTGGTGGGAATAGGAGTCTTGTTTACATGGGTTACAATCTTTACCGAAGCAGCAAGCCTCCTCACTTCAAATTGTGTCCTCACTTATAATGTCGTTAAGGAACCTCAGCGATGCGACCGAGCGAGTGGCGGTCGGCACGTTCACACATTAAATAACCCTCCTAGAATTCTAATTCTACCCTTTCATTGCAATTCTAATCCTTAGTAGCCGTTTTTGCAGAGTGCAGGAGGGCAATTATTATTGGAGATAACTGAGATGATAACTGTGCCGACCATCTCTCCCGCGGGCCTCCACATATACAGTGTGACACAATGGGGCTGAACGGGAGCAGAGCTGAAAGCGCTTTCCTACTTCTTTGAGTCTTACTTAAAGTGGGAGTGAGGTTTAATGACACTGAGTCTCTGTTATTAGTACAAGCTAATTTCTGAACCTTCCTTCTCTTCAGTCTGTTGTAACGACTCCACAATTAAGCCGCTGACGCATGAATTGGTTTGAAAGCCATATCAGTATGTTTGCTTTTAAATGTTTTCTTTTGGATTGAATTTGATGAATGTGCACCTCGCTGAGATTTAGCAATAAACCTCTTTTGTGGGGGGTCCAGGGAAGTGTGTTATCACTTTCTCACATTATAAAGCACTACATTGCCAAAGCGGTGTGAGACTCAGACTGTGGGACGTATTGTGTTGCTGGTTTGTCCTGCTGTTTGCTGAAAGGGCCCGTTGGTAGGGAGGATGGCTCCCAACACGAGATGAAAGGCTCTGGGAAGCACGCCAGGTGTCCACCACTTCTCCATTCGCTCTGACATCCTCACAGTCAGGAGACGCTTCAGGAAGGTTTACGGCAGCCAGCCCCCCTCCCGTTCCAAACATCCACCGCCATTCAGCGTCCTGTCATTTGCATTGTACATACTGTAATGAAAGCACTGGTGACCTGCTGTTCAGAATAGGCAGCAGTGAAAAGGCACACAGACAACCATTATGCACTTGAACAATGGGCTTAAGGTAACTTAGAGGTAAGCGGAGAGGATCTGTGACGAGGAGATCGCCAGCTGAGGGTATTTGAGCGGCTAAAATGAATGAGAATAAATTGTCAGTGGCTGCTGAATTGCCCTTTGGCGAGGCGCTTCTCTTCCATTTGTTCCACATAAGCTTTTGTGGTTGCCAACAGTACAAGACTGGTTGTGCTGGGAAGCAGAATGTTGCTAGAAAACTGAAATGTGCTCTGTTTCCTTTCATATTTTTTTCTATATCTATTCAAAGCTGGATTTTGTTTCTGCGAGCAACAAGTGTCTTCCATATGCATCCCAGGACGCAGGCATCATTTCCATCTGTTCCAACTGCACCACAGGCCATTAACCTTGTTGCATCAAAGATAATTAAACCCATTATACCTCAGGCAGGCTTATGATTCAGTTTGTATTTTCAAGAATCGCTCCATAACAACCCTCTTTTTCAACATTAATCAGTCCTCTACGGTATTACAGTACTCTTCATCTAAAGCATCCTGACGTTGTTAATAATGCGGATCTTGACAGACTTCCATAGATGGGATCTGTGGGAGTTCTGTCTTATGTTTGCTGCACATGAACACCTAATACCTTTGTCGAAATAAATACCTGTATTGACATTGTCTGGAGGCCGAGATTACTTTTATAATAAAAATCGACAAACTCTGTAAGTCATTAATGGATTCTTTTCATGCGTGTCCGGATGGCTGCTGTGCCCTCTGAATCTAAGGTTTCCACATTCAAAGTCAAGTGTATTCACGGAGCACTTTTAACTTAAAGGATACTGTAGCTCATACTGTACTGACTGTACCCGTCTGCTGCTTCACCAGACTGAAATATCCTGACAGAGAGTTACCTTGAGATTTAAGAAACACATACAGGATACCCAACTTGTGGTTTTTAATATCGTTGGCAATCCTTTAACTTTCTAATCTAATATCCAGTAAAATTCAGTTTGTCTGATATTTTGGTTTATGACCCAAATACCTGCAAAACTACCTCCATTAGCCTAAGCTTGTTTCTTTGTGTTTATCTTACCACGCTAACATGCTAAGCTAAGATTCTGACCATTGTAAACAATAAACCTGTTAAATATGAGGATGCGAGCGTGCTGTTATTAGGAATTACCTCAAGAGCTGCTACTAGGGCTACAGTGCCTTAGGCTGTTTTTTTTTAAGATGGTTTACATGAGTATACATGAAAACATAGAGAAAAGGCTTTATAGTTAAATTCACTTTCTTTTAACTGTCCTTGTCTGTTCTACTCATAAGGATTAGGACTGAAGGTTTTATTTTATGACAAAGAAACAAAGAATTATTGCAGCTTTTTTGACTCAACAGAAAGAAGCTCTGTTAATCCCCTGGGCCCCACAGCCTGCAAGCAGATTTGAAAGTCATGTTTACTTAAAAAAACAAAAACAAAATTACACCATTTATCAAAGCAAGAAACTGTAAAAACAGAAATGACTTTCTGTCAGTGAATTCATCACTCATAATGGGCAGTTTTGTCAGGAAAAAAATATGCAAAATAAAAAGGCTTGCATTTTGATATTTTATCAAAATTACTTTATTCTCTATGTTTCACTCAATAATGTATAAACTTTGCACTGTAAGAGCAAAAGATGCCCAGAAATTGCTTTGGGGTCAGAGGGCTAACGCCAAAGTTAAAACAGATTTGATGCAATCCTTGAATTCCTTTTGACAAAAAACTGACTTTAGAAATGCCCCCAGTCACACTGAAACTGAGCTAGCTGTGGCTGGCTTTGATGAGGTGCTGACTGCTTGAAATTACTTGAAATTAAACATCATCTTGTGGCTTAGTACACACCAGACTACTGTCTTATGATACTGCATTTAAGTTCACCATGCATGTCTTAGACGAATGGAGAAGTTAAAGTTATGCTAGAAAGCTATTCAGTTGTGACTCGATAATCTGACCCTTAACAATCTGAAAACCTTGCTATCCGACAGGTTTTTAGGAAACACGAACAGAACCCATTATGAACAGCCTTAACATACTGACAGCCTTGGATTCTGACTCTGACATGACATTTTATGTCACAAATCAGGATAACAATTAAATGTGACTTGTATGTGATCTGCTGTGTGAACTTCATACGACCCAGAAGTGTCCCGCATGCGCAGAAGAGGACATGATGACGTCACACGCAGCGAGCGTGCTCAGTGTTTGTGGAAGTAAACACGGATGACGGCGGCGAGGAAGTGGTGCTGCCGCCTCCACCGGTGGTGGAAACAGAAGTGCGACCGCGAACTAAACTAGCATCAGCAGCCAAGTTCTGCCTGTGCGTTCCGGCAACTTCCAC